TTGGCTAGAAGGGAACCACACTGTATTTTGGATGAGGAAGTGGAGGGCCAGAATGGGGAGGCAAGTCTTCTGTTAGTTCAAGGTCAGAGCTGGGACCTGTATCTGGGCTGACAGAGCCGCCCATCTGGCTCCTGTTTAAGAAGCCACAGGCCCCGAGTAGAGGCATCCTCAGATGGTGCCAAAAACCTTGCTTCTGCTTTGTCTGTCTCTCACTTCATAATTCCACACCCTTCCCCTACCGTCTGTGTCCAACTCCTTGACCTCTGGTGTAGCTCAATAGTCCTACCCAAGCTTTGGACCCCTCTGTCTCACTCCCTCCAAACTTTGCTATCACCCCCATCTTATACTTTGTCAAGATAAATCAGTTTGAGTCCTAAGCTAGCTGTCACTCTGGAAAAGAAATCCAATAAATTAATCTCTCATAAGAAGTTAATGACTTATTAAGAGCTTAGGATATTAAGAGCTTGTTACTTGTATTTAGATTGTAATGGAAGATTTCAATAGGTCAAAAGCTTAACCCCAAATAGTGAATGTTAAGTGAAAGAATTTCTACTATAACCCATTTTGGAGAGGGGGAAGTAATGATGGAAGCCAGTAAGATGGTGTAGGGCTAATGTGATGTGCTGAAATGGTAATAATGCTATTGTAAGCCCATGTTCCTTTATATTTAGGGGGGGCATTTCAGGCTTCAGCAATCCAGAACAGAGTCGTATTCCTACTACTGACTGTTTCCTAATATGATTTTTGTTCTTTACTCTAAGATTTTCCGTGAGAGACCAGTGAACTAGTCTTTCCTAGGATAAAGACTTCGAGTGGGCATTTCTTGAGTAAGCTCTAGGATGTAAGCAGCTAGTTTCACTAGCAGCTTGCACTGCTGAAATGTGCAGTTTCTTTCCACAAACTGTGGGCATGGCTAGTCCAGAAAATCTAAAGCTAGATCAGTAAAGCATCAAATATTGTTTGCATCCCATTCACCCCCACCGTCTAACCTCTCTCCCTCACCCTTCTGTCCCCTGTGCATTCCTAATTCTGTGTGCCTGGATGCCTTTGTCCCGACTCCACTGGGGTGTTTTCTTTCCTAATGTATTTTTATGCAGATGAAATCTGGTTAAAATGAGAGCCACAAGAATAACTGTGAAGAATAGAAAGGGCCAACTTGCCATAAGGGATCAGGTGGGACCTGAGACATGTGATAAAGAGGAAAGGAGGGTTTTTCAGGCAAAGACCAGCCCCAGTTGAATTTTGGGGGTAAAGTGTAAATCAATAATTCTTAAGCTTTAAGGAGAAAAAGAGGCACAGAGCAGGGGAGGGTGGTATCTTGTTCATCATGGAGTTTCCCAAACTCTAATCTTGAGCATTCTGATTTTATAAGGTTAGGGGCCGCCCAGACTATTAAATAAGCATTTCACGAGACATTGCTACAGGTGGTCTTTGGAATACACCTACAGAAGCTCTGGAGTAAGGGGTGGTATGTGGTTGGTTAGATGTCTTTGAGCTCTGCCCATCCTAGAGGGCTAGGAGGATGAGCGTTTTATCCTTCAGTCCTAACAGATGTCACCTGGAGTGTCAGTAAGTATGACTCTGGCTGATTGGTCCTTACATACAACCCCCTCCCTCCACTCCTCAATCAAAGGAGGTTACAGTGGGATAAAGAACCTGATCTACATGAGTGTTTGGCTTGTATTATATTAACAATTTAAAAGACAGGCAGATTTTCCTTAAAAATTCTTTTTCTCAACTAATTTTTGGGGACCTAAGTCTTCTTCACATCACAACAGTCATGACACTACTTAAATTTTCTCTATATACCAATTACAGCAGATGAGTAGGAAGTGGAAGTTCCATCAGAAGGGTGGTTCTAAATTACCCTTGTTTACCAAGACCCAAGGCTATATTCCATTTATTCGTGCAGCAGGTAACCCCTTTAATATTTTTATGTCGTACTATAAATTTATTTGTGGGTATGGCATGCCAGTTAATTTATTTAGCATAATTTTCAAAAGAATTTGTAACAGAGATTTATAAAGAGTTCACAGTCATAATGAATCAGGCACATCTTCTTGACCAACTCGTTCGTTTTAAAAATTGAGAAACCAAGGCCAAAACGTAATGGATACAGTGGACACCCTCTTCTACCTCATTCACAGCCCCTCTTCCTTCTTTTGGGAAGTGCTCTTTTCATGAGGCCCCCCACCCTCCACTCCAGATCTAGGTCTGACCAATCAGATCACACCTTCATCCAAGCCCAGTGATTGGTTCATGTGCAAGGACATGGCTAAGATTGCCTGAGCTATCTGGGAAGAAGGACTTTTCCCATTGGGGTTACAAAAGTAGAAAAAATACCTAGGACTTCAGCCACCACCCTGCAGAATGGTTGTCTGAAGAGCAGACGAAATAGAGAGATAAGAGGACCTGAGAGGGGGAGAAAGACTGAACTAGGTTAAAATCATTTGAGCCTCAGGATCTCACTGAGTTGAAATTTAGTCCTGGCCTTCTAGTTGTGTGAGTCAATGAAGTCCCTTTAATACCTCAGCTAGTTTGAGTTGAGGATTTAAATTTGCAACTGAAAGAGTCCTATTGGGAACACAGATGTGCCCGGTTCTAGAAGCTTCATGTACCATGTCTCCTGGTACCCAGTTCTCCCACCAGGGTACATCAGCTTGCATGCTCTGTGGCAGTAGATTTTGAGCTTTAAAATGCTTAAGAATCAACTGCAATATCTGTTAAAATGCAGATTCCTGGGCCCACAAAGATTCAGAGGAACTGAGTGGCAAAGGTCCTAAACCTGCCCTTTATCAAGCTTTTTTCTGGGTGAGATAAATCCTCACCATGGCATGGGACACTCTTCTGTTCACTGGCTGTCACATCTGTTCCAGCTGTGCTGTTCCCCTTGAGGTCTGCAGACATGCCAGGCCTGCTCTGGTCTTAGAGCTTTACCTTAGCTGTTCCCTCTACCTGCAAAGCTCTTTACGACAAATTGTCACCGCTAAAGCATTTCCTTCAAGCCTTGGCAGAAATGTCACTTCTCAACAAGTCCTATTCTGACGTCTATATTTAATACAGCAACATGACACCCCACTCCACAGACATCATTTACCCTACTTTATGTCCCCCTCTTCATAACTCTTTTTATGTTCCAAAGTTCTATACTGTTTGTTTCTTATGTTTATTTTGTATCCTGTTCCTACTCCACCTCCCCCTTCTCCCCCTACACACCCACACTTAAATGCAAGCTCCAGCAAAACAGGGATTTGTTCATTGATGCATCCTACGTATCCCTCTTTAGCACATAGCAGGCACTCAATAAATGTTTTGTGAATGAAAGTGCTTTCAGTTTGAAGTGATTTCTAATTGAGAAAATGCTATACTGCCATGTGCACATTAATTACTTTACTTTCTTAATATCTCATAATCAAGATTGCTTGATTTTTCTTTTCTTTGAAAAGAGAAGTGGTAAGAAAGATGGGTCATAAAAAGGAAGTTGCTGCATTGTTGGTGATGCACACCCCATGGGTGCCCAGGCGGGATTTGCTCTGCCTACCCAGTCTTGCTTTCCTTTGAGCTTCCCTGGGCCCAGTGCAGTTTACCAATGCTGATTTTGTCTTCTGAAGACTTCTGGGGAGAGGGTTCTTTTGTTACTCTATTAGGCTTATAAGCAAGCAACTGGATAGACATGTTACAGCATTAGGAGTTGGTGACAGGTATGCATTTACTTAAAGACAGTAATTCTTCCCAGCAGAGGGGATGTCACCTAGTTTACACATACTCACAAATATTTTTACTTCTGCTTCAACTCCAGGTTATCTTCGTTAAAGCTTGATGATTTTGGAACAAGGTGAGGAGAATCCAACTGTGGCTGTCTTTAGGGGGTTCCTCTTTGGTGGTAGGATCAAAATTGATGTATATTTGTGTTTTTTTTTTAAATTATTTTAGCTTTCCAATTACATGAGTATTCTAATATTCACATTATACCACTTAATCTAGCCTTTTAAAAGGGCATTTAAAATTCCAACTAGCATTCATTCCACTGAAGCAAAATGCTGCCTGCTACTTTCTTTGCTCAGTTTCTGGGAGCTTGGGAAGCTACTGTTGGGTGTGCTGAAGGAAAATTGGATTCTTAAAGAAACTGCTTTATCTTCTCTATTAAGCAATTCAATAAAATGGACTCTGGGTGTATGGAACAGGTAGATTCAGAAGTAAAAAAAATTACAAAAATGAGGTTTTGGGTTTTGAATGGATGTTTAAAAATACAATGGCATACATTTAAGAGAAGGTGATGATTGGAGGAGTTTTTATTAAGTGCATCAAATTGAGAAGGGCTGAATATTAAAAAACTTATACAATGAAAGAAGAAGCTGGGTAAGAGGAAGTAGGCTCTGCATTTAAATGAGATCAACCTAAAAGGACATAGTGAAACTTACTCCAAATCATTCGGATTTTTCTCCTTTGCAAAAAAAAATAAATAAATAAAAAAATCCATTACAAAATGTACCAACCGCTTTATTTTGCAGAGTTGGCCTCCATGGAGATGTCATCTTTGGATAGGGGTCTCAGAAATACACTGATTATAGGTCTAAATGAAAAACAAAACAAAACAAAAACGAAACTAGCACTGCTGTTCTCCTAGTCATTAAAGAGGCTGCCTTCCCTTTTAATGTATTCCTTTTTAATGAAAAGAGACGGGAATATTTTATACGACTTGACATTTGGTTCCTTTCCACGAAATCTGAAATTTGAGAAGCGAAAAATTCCGCAGTTGGTGAAATACCTGCCTTAAAAGCAGAACCACAGTTAATGTCTTTGGCCCGGAATTCCAGGGACTAATTTCCACCCCTCCCACAGAGTCACCTGCTCAGGGGGAACCCCGGCCAGAAATCCGGGTCGCGCCAGGTCAAATCTTGCGTCTCTTGTTTACTCCGCCCCTGGCAGGGCGGCGGCGCGGCCTGGGGTGGGTAGGGCCGCTTGGGCCCGCGGCGCCCGGGGCACTGGGTTCCGCTCGTCTTGGCAAGGCAGCGCGGACTCCCGGGAAGGGTGGCGAGCGGTCCCGCCCGGTGGGAAGACCACCCGGAGGAGGCGCTTCTGGCTCCAGCCATGCCTGGCTTCCTTACGCAGCTCTCCGGCCACCGCGGCCTCCTGGGAACCTCCCCCGAGGGTTCACACGAGTCCACACAAGCAGGGTAAACGGCTCGAGGAAGCCCCGGTGTCCTCAGGCTGTCGCCGGGCCGGGGAGGAAGCCCAGAGCTCTGGTTCCCACTCGCCTGGGATTCCCCCGCCCCCCGGCCCGGTTCTCCTGGCGCTGGGTGTGATTTCACTCGCTCCCTTCGGTGGAGAGAGGAGCGCGCAGGCTGCAGGCGGCGGCTCGCCGCGGTCCTCGTACGGCCCACCAGGAAACCAGCAGCTGCTCCCTGCGCCGCTGCCCCAAATGATTTGAATACCCCGGAGAGGGCGAGCGGCGGTCCCCGAGCTGGGTGCGCCCAGGGTGCCCTGGTGAGTGACCCAGGGAAGGCAATTGGGGCATTTCGAGCGCGAGAAAAGTTCGTGTTTCTGCAGGGGCACAGAGAGTGCTAGTCAAACACTTTGCAAAGCTCCAGAAAGGCAGCCAGGAGCTACGTACAGTCTGATTTTGTTTATCTTGACTGATAACACGACCGTGAGTAGAGGCGGGGGCGAGGGAGAGGGAGAGGGAGACGCAAAGGATCAGAGGTACACGGACAAAATAATAATAGCAATACTAATTATTATATAATTCCGTTGGTTATCAAGACAGGGAATGATTATATGGGAAATGGGGAAGATGGGAGGGTGGGGGTGGGGGAAGGAGGTTTCCACCACCTTAAAGGAAATTCTCAGGCTCCTAGAGGCGCCCGAGTGTTTTTGCATGACAAGTAGAGACCCGCTCTCCCGGGAGTTCCCGGATCCAAGCAAGCGGGAGCGCAGCGCGATCTTCCCGCCCGGAGCGGCCGCGGCGGGGCCCGGCCCTGTCCTCCCAGTCGCCTCCCTCCCCCGTCGCCCCGCGCAAAGCACATCCCTCTCTTGCTAGCCGGCTCCAGACTGGTTTTTCTGGTTCAGCCTTCCTCCCTGGGACGCGCTGGGGGATCCGATGACGTCGCTGGCTGAGTCTCTCCCTCTTCCTCCCCCCTCCCCCCCGCCCGCCCGCCCTCGCCGCGCACTCCTCCTAGTAACTTCTGTTCGGGGAGGCGCTGCCAGGAATAACCCGGTGCGTCCACAGACCGGAGGGGAGGCGGCCGCTGCGTCTCCCACAAGCGGACTGCTGCGGCCCGGGCCTCGCGGCTCCCTTCGGAGCCCAGCTGCCCCGGCCCCGGCCCATCTCCATACAGTGTCAGAAAAATAAATAAAGGAAAGAGGAGCCTGGGCAGGCGGTCGGGATCTCTTCCCTCCCTCCGCGCCCGCCCTCCCTCTGTCCTTAAGGAAATGCTACCAGACACCCCCCACCAGACACGCTCAGCCTTGGCGAGGAGCGGCCGCCGCGGCAGCGAGAACAAGGGCACCAGGGGGGTTTCCTCCCCCTCCTCCTCTCCCTCCTCTTCCTCCTTCTCTTCGTCCTCCTCCTCCTCCTACTCAGCGGTGACTTTCCAGGTGAGCGGCCGCCGCTGCTGCTGCTGCGAGGATCCCCTTCGCCCGCTCGGGTTCGGGCGGCCGCGTCGCGCCCTCCTCCCGTTCCTGTCACCCGGCAGCAGCCGCGATCTGACAGCCGCCCGAGGGGCTCGCAGCCCGGAGGCGGGCGGCCGGGGGGAGGCGGGCTGGAGGTGAGGGGGTGGAGAGCAGGCGAGCGGGGCGCCGCGGAGCGCTCTCTCCCCACTGGAGGGTCTCCACCAAAACATCTTCGTTGACTGTAGCACAAGTCTTGGCCAAGTTGTGTCTTGGACGTTGAGGCTCCTAGGACCCCGGAGCAACTTGAAGGGTCTCCTGGCTCATTGACAATATTCCTACACGTCTCGACTTTGGGGTGCTGGGTGCAGCCTGGGGGCGCGTGGAGGGTGGACTGAGCATTTGGGAGAACAGAGCGGCAGAAATGTGGGTTCCTCGGCTCGGTAAGTGGCCTGGGCACTGTGTTTTTCCTGCCTCCTGTAGCGTTGGGGAGCTTGTTTCACTTTATACCGAAATAGCCTCCGCCGGACACCGTCGCCCCTCCTGCGCGCGCCCCGGGTGCTTCCCGGTTTCCCCGGGGTGAGGGTCGGAGGGGGCGGGGATGGGGGAGACCTCGGGAGAGGGGTCCGGCGCTTTGGGAAATGCGGGGAATACCCTGGCCGCGGATCTATGCAGATGAGGGGAGGCTGCTTTGCGTAATGTCCTGGGGGGAGGGGGCCGCGCGCGAGCGCTGGAGGCAGGAATGTGCCTGGTTACTAATGAGGGACGTGCACCGGCGCGCACCGCCGGGCCACCGCTGCGGCTGCCGCGGCCGCCGGCCGCTTGTCGTCAGGTAGCGGGGGAGGGGGCCGCGGCCATGCCGCGCGGGTTGGGGGCGGGCGGGCAGCGCGAGGGCCGGGCCGCCGGCCTGAGGCCGAGGGAGCGCAGCGAAGGCTCTGGCTATTGGCATTTCAGTGACTCCCTTCTTCTGCCCAGAAAGGAAGGAAGGAAAGAGAGAAGGAAGGAAGCGAGGAAGGAGGGGACTGTCTCGATGGAAGGTTCAGGCGGAGGCGCCCTCGCCTTGCGGGTGCACTGGCCGCAGAGAGGCTCCCGGCGGAGCTGGCCGGCCGGGGGCGCGTGGAGACCGGTGGGGGCGGTTTGCATGGGTGTTCGCCTGCGCGCCTGGCCCGGGACCGGGAAGGGACATGTGTGTTTGGGCTGTGCACTGTGGGGAGCTGGGTCTGCGCCTTTATGTCTGTTCCCTGAAGTGGGTGGAACGTTGGCCCGTTCCGGGAATGTTCCATGACGTGGTGCAGCCACAGGAAGGGGGTTAACGAGGGGCTCTCTGCCGCGGAGGCTCTGCCGGCTGCTATCAAAGCAGATGTGCTGCTGCTGCTGTTCCTCCTCTCTCACCTCCCTTCACCCCTCCTCCCGCCTTTCCATTCTGTGCGTCTGGTACTGGAAGGGGTGAGACAGGAAAACATTGCTGTGGGGGTGGGTGGGTGGGTGGGAAGGGGTGATGTGTGTGTGTGTGTATGTGTGTGTGTGGTGTCTATCGTATTGGTGGGGGAGACTCCAGATCAGCTCTGCTACCCCAGCTGTTATCACAGATCAGTGCGCTTTATACGCATGTGCCTCCCGCGTACTGTTCCTCTTACATAACACATCCAATGCAGCAGAGGACATGAGAAAATGCGACCCCAACCCTCCAAGCCCAAATTGGATGAGGGGATAGAAGGTCAGGAAGTGTCCCTTGGTGTTGTCCTTTGGGGACGTGGCTCCCCGTGGGGAAAAGCAGGAGGGGAAGGAGGGTTTTCTTCAAGTGGCTCCTCTCCTCTGACATGAAAGCATCTAACTAAAAAGGACTGCAGGAACTAGTCCTCTCGAATGAGAAACCTTTTACACGCTCTGCCGAGGGCAAATGGGTACTTTAACCTAGGGAGTGCAGAGAAATGAGAGGGTCCTTAAAAAAGACACTTGGGTGAGAAGGGCAATAATGTGTGCGGAGTAGGGGCCAGTAGGGATCGCTTTAGCTTGGGGGGTGGGGTGGGGGGTGGCAGAGGAATCTCCTGATAATAGGTTTCACTGGAGGCCTTAGGACACCTGTAATGGCTTAGAATTCGCACAGGAAGCAGTGTGTGCAACTGACATTGTGAAAACCTTATTCGCTGCACAGTTACTTAGGCCTAAAATGAACATAAAAAGGCTTGTTTCCGGTGCTTTAATTTACAATGGAAAATCTGAACTGATTTTTCTCCTTCCATTTTTTTTTGCCATTTTAAAAATAACTCAGTTTACCTCCAAGTAAATATTGGTACTCTGCTCTATCCTCAAAGGCTAGACTAGACCTTGGTAATTCACAAGAGAACTGTTTTGTTTCAGCATACTTCGAGCTCTCTTCAAAGGCTATTGATTTTTCTCTTCAGTACAGTTGTTTTTTGTAGTGCATAATCAAGCTGAGGAATTACTTGAAATATTAATAAGATCCATTTTAATTAAATTTGCAATAATCTAGCTTCCTAGAAAAAGGCTATTTAACTTTATTAGAAATGTTTGGTGATGTTTGTCCTTGAGCTAAACAAGTTATTTTAAATATTTGCATATATATTATATTCCATGAATACATATTATATACACTGTGTTTTACATATATATTACATATATATTAGAATTTACAAATGTCTTGTGCTTTATCACCTTATAACAATGTCAAAGCAAAATTTTAACCAAGTAGATTGTGTAATGAGTAGATTTAGTTTGATTTTTAGAATATAGGCCAAATAGTTTATCAAAGACAGAAATGCCTTCCACAAGAGTAAAAGGAATATCATTTTCATTATTAAGACAGAATTCCTGTGGGACACTAAGTAGTCACAATGAGAACTAAACTGTCCTTTTTTTTTTGAGGTGAAAGGGATTTACCAACATCCACTTAATACTGGTAGTGTGCTTCAAGTGTCATAATCCCTTTTCACCACTAGGTTTGAAATACTCAGTATATGTCTTATGTACAGAAAAATGTTATATTACATTGGTGAATCTTTTGCAAATTGTCCGTGTTTCTTGCTTTGAAAATAGGTCAGGTTTAATACAAAATTTGCTTATTGGCATATATAGTCCTTTTGTGGTGATTGTATTTCATGTGGTGGGTTTTATTAGAAACTGCTTATATTCATACAAAGGTATTTGTGATTACATAAATGTAAATTGATTTGGGGACAATTTTAGGAATGTAACTATATTAATGATATTACAGATTTAAAATTTAACTGATTTTTAAATGGTTAGATCTTTGTGGAGGCCTTTGGAAAAATTCTATTAAAGTAGATAAAGTACATCTATATTTCTATTAAATGTGGAACGTGAAAGGGGTTTACTATGTGCATATTATTACATAATGAAATCATGCTGTTTAACTACATTGAAAGATTAGCCAGCAGAATCTTTTGATTGATCAGGTTCCTTTTACCTGAGATGTGTTTACAAATGTTCTTGTTACTATGACAACAAAACAGAGACAACATGTATGCAGGCGTTCCTTGTGGAATAATGGCACATGTGTCTGCTTGAGCCTTTGGCATTTTGTCATGATTCAGACACCAGGTTGAATCTTTTAGGCTTCTTCAGTTTAAACTGAAAAATATTTAAGAAGTTGCCTATTTTTTTTTCCAAAGCAGGGCTTATTTTAAAAGCAGCCTTAACATAACAAATACTTAAACACTGTTTTTACATTTTGATTCATAGTGAGCATCAGCAGACTCTCTTGGTTGGTCTACACAGTAGTGCTGAAGGTGGAGAAATAGTTCACACTTTGAATGATGTGCTTCTAGTTAATTGATTTACATGTGAATTCTTTGTGAATCCATATTTTGGCTAAAACTGGTATTTAAGCATTGCAA